GCAAACTTCGTAAGGCTATATTATCCACATTTTACAACATTTCGCAACGAAACTTTGGAATATTACTAATTTTGTGATGCTCTTTCAAGCTGTGATGAAATGTTTGTCTAGATCAAAATTTAGTCTATAATGCAAATGGTCCATTTTTACCATGAAGATGCAAACAAGAGAGCACTAACAACAAATGGATTATATTGAATAATACATCTTCGTCTAAAGACCTTCGTCAGTCATTACGTACTATTTAAAAAACGAGCAGGAGTGTTTTATTAGGTTTAAACCTAATAAAATTGCTTTAGACCTAATAAAACACGACCTGCGAGTTTTTTAAATGACTTCAAAAACATTTGCATAATAAGTCAAATCTTTATATAAAAATCTTTATATAAAAATCATTATATAAAAATCTTTATATAAAAATCTTTATATAGTTTGCATAACAATGGTCTTTTGTTAAAGTGTTCTTTAGCTGGTATAAGGACGTATGCACGCGACTAATTTCTTACTCAAGATTGGATAATTGCTTCATGAATTTAATATTGAGTTTTTGAAAGTGATATAAGAATGAACTAATATATAATTCTGACAAACTAAATCTATATCTGTTTTTAAAATATAATCGCATGCAATAATTTCTATAATTGTATATTGATGCCCACAAAAGCAAAGAAATATCAATTTTATCAGTTTTAGCATTAGGTAACGTACCGAGATTCCCAATAACACATCAGTTTCGAATTCAATCAGCGATAGTCATAATAGTAAAAATTAAATTAAAACTATTTATCAGAAATCTAAAAATAAGAAATCTCCGTCCATATAGAGACTGAAACTGTTTTGCCTTTAAAGAATAAGTATCATGGCAGTGCATGTCCTTGCACGCTTGAATGTGTTTAGGCCGACATTTTATGTTTACATTCCGCTGTATCTAATGAATATACTTTTATTACAAACATTTTGCATACAAAAACGCAAAATTTCACAAGATATAATGATTCGTTTCGTTTAACAGAAGAAATAGAGTTGTTTTTCAATAGGATTCCGATAGATATGGGCCAATACAAATTAAATCTTGGAGATCATGCACTTATAAATATCTCAAGAGTCAGCCATATTCTGGGACGCCAAGCGTCGAAAGGATCACTGTGATATTAAAAATTAAGTGTCTCTACATATATGAGGTATAGTTTCGTAGCCTTTAGCGACATTCGGATTTTAAATAAGGGATAACTGGCTTTGTAACCGACTTGAATTTGGTAAATCCATTTTCATATATGAAAAATGAAACTTCGGGTCCACAAAAACTATACTTCTGAACTGACACACATACGCCTGCGTCAATCATGATCGTATTATCCACCGTCCATACACATGACATGACATCAATGCTTGCATCAATGCGGTAGATAATCCCTTCGTCAAAATATATCACATACATGTGGCCAGGAATCGTCGCTTGTATAATGCCTAGATTCGGTAGTTTGAGTTGAGGCATACAATCTTCTAAATCGCACTCGATTAAAAAATGTGGAAATAAGCGATCGAATTCTGCTGCAAGGCGCTTCGCACGACGAGCATCTCCATGTGCCATATCAATACGTTTCGGTTGTACACTCGGTGGTAGATACTGAGGTACAACACACGGTGGTAGATACCCAGGTACACTCGGTGATACATGCGGCTGAATATAACCCATGTTTGGCAGTTTAGTACTAAATTTAGGGTTATGATAAGCTTTCATTCCACTTGCTTCCAACATACACAATCGCAATAAAGATCCAGCTTTGCGAGAAAAATCATACAAGTTTCTAAAGTTACATTGAAGCATCACATTCTGCACAGGATAATGACTGGCCATATTTACATCACAGAAGTTAACAGGAGTTTTGATTGTCGCCACATTTCTGCTAAAAACTACAATAGGGTCCATTTTCTTTGATGAATACTTTCACTTTAGATATGAACATGGAGTGCGTGGGCGAACGACGCACGAAAAAATGGCACCGAAAAAATGGCACCGAAAAAATGGCACCAAAAAACCGGAACGTGGAACGCCGGAACGTAAAACCTGGAAAGCAGGAACAGAAACCCGGAGAGCTTCTTTTTACCCTTTGTCGGTATTCATCGATATTTGGATTGGATTTGTTTGGTATAGTATATAGTACGGTATATGAGCATCGAAAAGAGGAAAAACACAAAGACATAAAGACCTTCACGCGTCTGGTCGTCAGGTACCCGTAACCATTGAGTTGGATAAGTCTGATACTCGTCAGAGTAAAGGCTGATTTCCACTGTTGCGTTTTTCGTACGCACGTATACGCACGTAAAACTTTGAGTCCTTCTATTTTTTAAATACTTTACAAATAAGTTAACAAATGCATACAAAAACTTGCGGAACACTAAATTCTGTTGCTTTATTTATTTGGTTATTTCATAAGTAACATTTAAACGGATTTAAAGTTTTACGTGCATATACGTACGTATGAAAAACGCAACAGTGGAAATCAGCCTTAAAGCCCGTTTTCCACTTCGCCCGTATCGTACCGAAACGTACTGGTGAGCATGCGCAGATTGAAAAGAGGTTAATAAAACACGTACTTCCGGGTGTATTCGCGTATCAAAATAAAAACTTCGTCGCAAGTCAAATTTTGGCGTACTACGGAAGTACTAACCAATCAACATTCACGAAATTTTGAAATTTAAAAACGTTTTTGATACGTTTCGGTACGGTACGCTTGAAATGGAAAACCAGCTTAAAGCTGTATCGCCGCCACTCCGGCACAAACGTCTACGACCGCACCTACATATTTTTGCATGTTTACAATTCTAATTTTTAACAGCCAACCGGTTCTAGGTTGGTAACAATTACAATTAAACGTCGATTGGCTGTAAAATTAGAATTGTAAACATGCAAAAATATGTAGGTGCGGTCGTAGATGTTTGTGGGAGTGGCGGCGATACGAATTTTTTATAAGTTTCCACAGTTCGGTAAGTTTTGTAATATATTGATTCGTACATTTTATAAAGAACGCATCATGCCGGCTCAATTGTATATTTTAAGTATATAAAATATGTTAGTATATATTGTACGCTTAACCATGAAAAAAATTTGCATAGCCCTTCCGTCGGGAAATTTCTGGCGCCACCACTGCAGCTTACTTGTACTTGTAGATTTTTTCAGTAAGCCGCATGAATTTCATGGATGGTTTACATTGTGCCTCGACTGCATGGCTGTGGGGTCTTGACTGCATGACTGCAGGGGTCTTGACGATTTTCGGAAATCTCAACTGATTTAAACGGGTGGGTGAAGAATCGATTATTTTGACCTGTTTTCTATTATCGAGATGCAAAACATGTATCCGTAAAACCGTTTTGAAAAATTGCTTCGCAGCATATTTTGTCCGGAAACAAAGTTTATTGGTGGAATCAGTTCATTAAATCGAACGAAAACATATATACGTAGAGTCGGACGACCTTCTCTTCTCAATTTTTCTCGCATATATGATTGTGATGTATAGGCAGCATTAATTTGCAAAGCTTGTCTAGTGTTGCATGACAAACGAAGTCACGAAGACACTTCAAAAGAACGGTAATGTGACCTGGACAAGGCTATATAACGCACGTTGACGGAACAGTACTATTTGCAATTATCATACCATGCACTGAAATTCAAGCGAAATATTGCGAAGAGTATAACACTCAAAACACAGGAGAGAATCAACCACAGTTCTATTTACAAGAGATTTCGAGAACATCAAATGCAGGGTAGTCACTCACATTAAGCAAAATCCTATACTCTCGATTTTTCGCTTGCGCGCGCTTATAGCCTATCTGCCACCTGCATGTACTTCCCCAAACTTCACATCTCTGCTATTACGTAACAAAGTTGAAAACAAACCTCGTTGACACGTTTCCTCAATTCACTTCTTTCAGCTTCAAGTTTCCGCAGCTGAGAGCTTGCCTCATCTCGTTCACGTTGAATATCAAATAATTTCCTTTGGGAATCACGACATTCTTTTTCCAAGCTCGAAATCTAAAACAGCGAATTAATGGGCAAGAGTGCAGACTAAACAGGAGTCAATAACATATCAGGCGACAGGCGTCATGTAACATAAATGTTACGTCCTCGACGCTTCATGCGTAAAGGGTCCGAGAAACTGGATACTTTCACCAGTGAAAGTAACACCAGCGAAAGTAACATGTTTCGTGCACAATAACGTTAAGTATAGGCTTGTGATTTCGATCAAGATCAAAGAGAAACATATTCGTGCACGCAACATAAGGATATAAATTTCATGTGCGCATGCCATGCTAAAACAAACAAACACGAAAACGAGGCCAATGGGACAAAAATGAATTAAACAGTAAAGTATATTATATGTCTTCAGTTCTTTTCACAGGGCCCGGGGAAACAAGATTTAACCAAATAGACTTCATTGCACTTTTGTCCCAATGGCCTTGTTTCCATGCATGTTTGCCTCTTTTAGCATGGCAGGCGCACACGAAGGTTGGTTATACTGTATATATCTCCATGTTTCGTGCACGAATACGTTTCACTTTGATCTTGAGCACAATCATAAACCTATCTTTAACCCTATATAGCTATACTTCCATTAGTTCCACAAAGTTTCGTACTTTTTGAGTTATATTATCGTACTGGCGGACACAAGCCCAGGTAAAAATAATAAAAATACAGATTAGAGTATTTAGGCAGTGACTCTGTTTCTAGAACACCTTTTTTCTAACTCACCTTAGTTTTAAAAGTATCATTGGTTCTCTGTAACGCGTTGTTTCTTGCTTCCAAATTCTCTTTCTGTTGATGCATCAGCTTGTTATTCATAAGGAAATCATTTCTTTCTGTTTCAACTTTTCGTCCTTTGTGAGCAAGATCGTCTTTTTGTGTTTTTAAAGCTTTCAGTTGTTCACTCACATCATCTCGTTCACGTTTCACGTCTTCCAGCTCTTTTAACTTGCCCTGAAAGAATGCAAAAACATGTTACTGTTTGGAACTATTTTGCAAAGTTCTCGACCCGAAATCCATCGTCTTTTCACAATTTCCCATCCCATCCAGTCACTAACTTGTGTGTAAGTAAAGCTACGTTTACACGCTGCGATTTGTCGGGCCGATTTTGGTAAATAATCGATGCCCCTTCTTCAACATTTAGCGATTTAAACGTTCAGTTGAAGCTGTCCGCTCTCTCGTCTGTTCATGTTATAGTTTTCTGCGTGCGAAAAGTTTTCAACAACTTTACAACGGAAGAAAAATCGTTGAATCGTGAGAAAAATCTGTGGTTTTGTTACAGATTTTTCTCCCGATTTTGTGAATCGCAAGGTGCTGACGCGAGTACTCACGACAGGTTATTTACATACAGCGAGCAAAATCGGCCCGACAAATCGCAGCGTGTAAACGTACCTTAAGTAAGTAAGTTAGTAAGTTAGTAAGTGGGGTGTGCTAATCATCCTTACTTGCAGCTGAGAGCTAAGCTGAACTGTGAAGGACGCAGCTGAACCTGATCCAGTCACTAACTGGTATGTAAGTAAGTAAGTAAGTTAGTAAGTGGGGTGTGCTAATCATCCTTACTTGCAGCTGAGAGCTAAGCTGAACTGCGAAGGACGCAGCTGAACCTGATCCAGTCACTAACTGGTATGTAAGTAAGTAAGTAAGTTAGTAAGTGGGGTGTGCTAATCATCCTTACTTGCAGCTGAGAGCTAAGCTGAACTGCGAAGGACGCAGCTGAACCTGATCCAGCCAAAGGCTTACTGAGGGCTGATCACGGAGTACAGCTACGGTGGAAGAGTCCTTGTGGGAGGAAATCGGAGTACCCGGAGAAAACCCACGACTTTGGGTATGCGACTTTATGGAAAGAGCCTATTCATTGCTGATTCAGGTTGAGTTCACTCGAGTTAGGTTGACATGTGATGAGCATGTGAACTCGGCTCTCTTCCGGCTAAAAAACTAGCAATTACAGTAATTATGGTAAATCTTAGGTTCCCGAGATCAAATCTATAATGAAAACTTTACATACTTGTAACTTGGATATAGTCCTTTCCAGCTCAACGAATTCTTCATCTGCTCTATGTAGTCGACTGACCTAAAAACAGCAAGTATTTCAACTATACAAATGACATCATACATATATTGGTGGTTGTCGGTAGGCGTTAGGGGCGAGCATATGGTGGTAAACTCTCAAAATGATGACACTTACAATAGCAAACTAAATCTTCCAACAGATATGTAGTTCAGACTAACTATATATTACCTGCTCGTGAAGTTGAGTATTTTCTTTAACCAGACTATCACATTTACATCTTAGTTCCTGATACTGTACTTGTACGGACTGAAGCTGACCTACACGATTCTGGTAAAGAAATGAGAGATCAATAAGCTAAATTACAAGTAACGCCGCAACCCAAGAGGGCCTCTGTTCGCAGGCTACAGTCCTAATTCTTGACTGTATTTAGTATTCTGCTTTGTCTGACATATACGTCGACGTTTCAGTGAAGCTCTTCGTCCGGCTAACTAGAGAAGGGCTTCGCTCCAAAGGGCTGTTTACATGATCCTGATTTTAATGTATTGAAATAAGTCGCTTGGCTTACACGAAAGTTCAAACGGCGGTTAAAGAGAATGAAATGTTGTCGAGAAGATCTCGTAGTTACAGAAGATTATTATTGCTGCTTTTTTATTACCTTTCGTTTACAAATATACTATAATCTGACGCTAGAAAAATAATGTCATTTTGCTGAATCGTGCACCGCGACTTATTTCAATACATAAAAATCGTCCCACCTCACATCTCGTCCCGGCCAAACAGGGATCATATGAACAGCCCCTTAGTACTGTTTATCTTTTTTCAATAATTAGATCCTTCAAACAAGCTCGTGAATGTTTTTAACACCACCTATATACACTCAAATAAAAATAAAAATAATAATAATAATGGAAACTTTTTATTAGATATTTACGATATACTATATATACATTGATAAACCTCACTTAATAAAAGGTAGCTTATCGATGATAATAATGAAAACTTTATTCATAGAACATTTATAGATATATACAATTGTAAATCTCACTTCTTGAGGTAACCTACAATTGACTACTTGAATCACTTATATACATGGTTATAGTTTTATATACAAAAATTTTTAATTATTTATAGAAATAGTTACTTTAAATGTTCATTAATAATAATAATAATAATAATAATGATGGTATTTATATAGCGCCTATACATTTCTGTCCTAAGCACTCAAACTCTCAAAGCCCACACCGAAAATTTGTCAGACGATGTGGGGAGAATAATAAAATAAATTATTAAATAACAGTTTTACCTGTAACGAGTTCACATTATCCTCCAATATTTCTTGTTGTCTTTCCGCATTTGAACGTTCAGACCTCAGCTGTTCCAACTGAAATTTTTAAACATTGTACAGTAAGATTTCTGGTTTATACAGTACAGGCGATAACAAACACCAATGGAATGGAATGGAATAGAATACAGTACAATCGAATAGCATGGAATGGAATGGAATGGAATGGAATTGAATGGAAGAGAATGGAAAGGAATAAAATGAAATACAATATAATGGAATAAAGTCAAGAATGGAATAGAATGAAATAGAAGTGAACGAATTGGAATAAATAGTATTGAGAAATATAGAACAGATTGGAATAAATAGTATTGAGAGATATAGGACAGAACAGAACAGAACAGAACAGAACAGAACAGAACAGAACAGAACACAGTATATATAAATTAAGAAAACTAAGAAAAACAGGAGTAAAATAAATTGAAATGGAATAGATTATATAACTCACTTCAAAAGTACATTTATTTAACTCTCCGATCTATATAATAATAAAAAATTGCTGTGAGTTTTGCGCGAATGTTTATTTTTTTATAAGAAGGCTTGGGTGAAATGTGGTGCTTACCATGCGCCGAATTTAAT